CAGGGATTTCAAATCATTTTATATAATAGACAATGGAAGTCCGAACTAGTGAAATTCATCACGAAACATTGTCAATCACCTTCAAACAAACGTCTCGCTTTCCTGAACTAGTCCGTATTTTATGCTTAATAGTCATACTATGATGCTTCTCGTTCTGTAATTTCCTGCTTCTGTTTCTTTTGGTTCATGATTCATGATTGTAGGGATATGTAAACATATCCAAATTGGAGTCAAAATCAGAATACCTGAAGAAATTGAAAGTTCAAAACATAACCTCTAAGTAGTTATTAATAATTTACCTTATTTGTTTATTTCGCTCTCTCTTAGTGGAATTTTTCCCTCTTTTACGACTTCCGCGATCACTATCACCTAACAAAGGCGTTTTGAAAGTCTATGCGTAGTGGACAAAATGCACTTCGAATGTCCAATCAATCTTCACTGGGGATTTCATATGGGACTGAACGCCTTTTGAATGTTCATGGTTGTGTTAAAACATGCGCCTTAGTTTGAAGAATAGATCGCCATCTCCATTTCAAACGCTGAAGTATTGGACAAAACGTATTTTGAATGTCTGCTCCTCATTTATTCTAACTATACTCTTACAAGGTTTGGAACGTAATGATATGATTTTACAAAATGCAATGTTTCACATCGGTATAGTGAAGGGGTTCAGATTGGTCATTATAGGGATAAACAGAGGTTTGGATTAACATAGGTAGGGTAATGGTAATTCCCAAGATGAGGGACACAAGGAAACAATTGAGGAATTGAAAATTCAGCTATTTGTAGCTTACAATATTTACCTGAAATAGATTTAAATATATGGGTTGCTTGTAAAAAGATTTTCCAGAATATTGAATTTTATGAGAATAAGTGGATTAGAAAAGACCCATACATTAGAAGGCCAACTGGAAAACACCGATTGGGAGATCCTTGAGAATAATGAAAAACTAAATAACTCAAACAAGATTAGTTAACAAAAATAAAAATAATGCCATAAAACAATCTGCTTTTTTGTAAAAATTTTAGAGCTGGCAACTCTAGGCTACATACTGAATATTTAATATTCACCATTCACTTGAGAAATATAATAATTTCGATAGCAAGATTTTGAGACCGAACAATAATAATATTATGAATAAAGATGGTGGACCAATACCTGTTGAAATAGCTTGTTGAAATAATATTTGTAGTTATCAGATTTACGTCAATAGTAGATTGGTCAACATTGTGAAATTGATTTTTCTGGACAATTGAGACGCAGATACCTAGCAGTATCTATGGTATAAATAAGGACAACATTGTATGAAGCTTTAGTTTAATCTTCCTTATGAGAGAGAGGATATTGGCAGATCAAGATTTTCAGATGATGTGGTGCTGCAAATGCGCCACTGGAATCAATGAAGTCGCCCCGGAGCGCCAATTAATATTCATTGTTGTTTTTATTTTTATCGTTGTTTTATAATTTCACAATTTCTAATTTCAACCCCGAAACAAAAACTTTGTTGTGTTGTGAAATCGGAAAGTCATATCGAGAACATTTATGAAATATGAAGAGGGCATGAATTTCAAAGATGTAAGGCAGTTCCAGTCGATAGATGCGAATCAAATAATGACGAATCATTGAAACCTTTATTCAAGTGATTTCAGGAAAATCCTGGTATATTAAAAAGAACCATATGTGAAGCTCTTATGAAGGGCTTCACATGGTTCTGGTCTCGCATTCTATTCGAGAAAAAATAACGATATGAGCAAAGCGAAGGCTTAGAGATTAATTTAAAAGATGAAACCAAGAACTTGACTGTTGAAACAACCAGATTATGTGCCGACCTCTAGTCTTTAAAGGGGTTCTGACTGTCTCTTGTCTTGTAATTGCAAATCACAGTGAAAACTTCAATTGACTTCAATTGACTTTTAAATCCAGTTTTTACTGCTTGGTATAGGGAAACGCCTAGCAAAGAAAAGTGATTTTTCGTTGAAATAATTCATGTCTCTTTATAAAATTCTGTCGCTGCACGCTTATCATCATTATCATATTATTTCAACTACGTTCACATATTTATGCATATCAAAATTTTACATCGCTTTTTTTCACTTCGTTACTTCATTCACCGATAACTCTAAAGTTCATCAGGGCTTGTATCGACGTTAAATAGAATGCAGGAGATTCAATCTCATAATTAAGAATCGTTACTTACTTTCGTTGATGAACTTCTTTCATTTTTTCTCCAAATTAATTCGAAAGCTTTTAAATGCCATTGCCATTGACTTTGTTGGTATTTTTGATAGTTTATTTCTATTCAAAACTAAGAAACGAAACTCATAATACCACAACGAAATTATTGTGTGGATCAATACTGTGAGCATATAATATGTAAGAAATTCACCAATACAAATAAAAAATCGTAGGTGCATGCCAGGTAAGCTAATATCATTGCGTTTTCAATGACAGTACACCAATTCAGTAATTCAGTTAAACTGGCTGGATGGACTACTGATGTTTCTTGAATATTATATGTGAAGGCAATGATATCTCGCCTTACAAAGACACCATGAACGGGTTCGACAGAAAAATGAAGCTAAATGAAGCTTCTCTAATCGATCTATTTCTACGCCAAGCTTCGCCATAGATCGCCGAAAGAGATTCGTCCTCTGTTTTTAACCGCAGCTTTCACATTAGAAGATACAATTGTGAGGTACTGTAGAGTCGAAGTGAGTAAAGGCAAGGATTACTCCCTTTACGAAGACGCCCTCTATATTGAATCATCAGAAGACTAAATTCACAAATATTAAAGATTTAGACGAAACTAATTTCCATGGATCAAAGACGGCATCTTCGTTAGTAGATAGATTATCATCAATGAAACATCGATGGCTGGTGTTGGCCAGTTGCTTGCAATAAATTGCCTCGTTAATCCTTGATATTGGATTGAGTCATTTCGCAATCACATATGTGGCTTCATCGGAAGGAAAGATGACATTGCATTCATATACTAGACTTGGATTTCAAGGACAATTGTGTCAAAAATTGCATTTGTCGTGGTTCAAACTAGCACCACTGATAAGACTCATTGTGGATCAAACTAGTACCACTGATAAGACTTATTGTGAGTCGAAACAACGCTGTGTGGTGTTGAATAAGATTATGAATGCTTTACTTCCAGACTTTGGTTTCAACTACATACCATATTACCTTAAACAACATTCGTTGACGATTGACGATGGATTACCATCACTCAGTACAATTCTAGTCTATTCCTCGGCAGTGCTTGAGATTATAGGTTGAGACTCGTTTTTTTTGGTTTCCAGAATAATGTCGAAGATTTCTCAGAGGGTCTTCGAAAAGGCAGCTACTTGACGATAAAAACTAATTTGATCTTGATCGAAGCGAGGTATTCAAGATGACAACAAAATGCACATTTTTACAAACTAGGCTATATTACGTATTTCTGGGATAATACAACTAAGTATTTGGTTCAGAAACAATGCTTATATAATTCCCTGAGCAGAAAAAATCAGTCTATTTTGTTATACATGATAATGTCTTCGATATGAATGTTTATATATTCATAACATTCGCAGATATTCGAAATGAATCTACTGAGACCTGTGTGGATTCTCACAACTAAATAATATTAACAAACTAGTTACACAGTGCCACTTTATCAAATCAATTTTACATGGGGTGTTGAGTTGATTGAAAGAATGAGATTCAATATAAGATTTAACATCTTGGAATATGTAAAATAATCATAAATTTTCAATCATGAATTAACTTACCGTAAATTACCGTAATTTTGTTCATATTTCAACAAAATAATGACTTCAACTTAATCCTATAGTAAAATGAAAAATAATTACTTGTGACTATTCAAAATATACTATTTCATTTAACCTTGCGTAATGGCTTATTGCGCAAGAAAAATTTACTGAAATGTAAAAAAAATATATTTCATAAAGTATTCCTGAAAAGAAAAAAAATTGAAATTCATCAAATGGTAAATTATTGGTACTTTATGGTGTATTCAGGTAATAACTTTAAACTCACATGGGAATTAAGAAAACCAGGGCACTGTATAGCCAGTCCAGTAGTATAAGGCATGGAATGAAAACAATGATATATCAGGTACTTTTTTCGAAACTCTTAGAAATACAAACGTGGCACATAGGAACCATTCAAATTATTCGTTTTAAAAATATCAACTGTACACAATGAGGTAGACGAGTTCTATTGTAACCTGCTACTTTGATAGGTAGTTCAGGAGGCTTAAAACTAATAACTTACACAAATTAAAAATAAATGGTTTCAACTAATGACTAAAATTATGAATATGTTGTATTTCTTATTCAACGTGAGTGTCATTAAGTACTCCGTGTTGTAGTAGACGCCATTTTGAAAGAATGTTGCATAATAGCCACACTCTACGCAAAATATCTCCTTTTGAAAATTTGTTATAAAATTAGAAAATGAAAAACTGGCAATAAAAACGTCAAAATAAATAATGTTGTGATAATTTGAATAAAAATATAAACAAATATTTTAAAAAACAATGACTCAATAAATAATCTGCCACAATCATACCAAGTTTTTCAAAATTGTTGATCTGAATCTCAGTGGTGGATTAAAATTATTCGAAAAATTCATGAATCTATGTTATGGTCACCAATGAGAACCAGAATTTTGAAATACTTTGTACAATACAAATTTTGAATTTTGCGCCTCTCAAAATAATGGTGTTGTACTAAATTCCTGTATATTTCTTATGACTAAATGGCATTTCAAAAATACATTTTCACGAACTTCAGTTTTCACAAATATAGTTACATCCTTAATCTGAAACTAAAATCATGCAGTTTCCATGAAAAACTGAAAAGTATATAAAAAACGGAGAAACTTATATTTAAGACCTTTATTTCACAGCGCGATATGTTAATTCGATGAGATAATCTTTGATGGATGGGGTTTTTACAGTGTGAAATTGTGGGAGAACTTCAAAGTCACTGTCGAATTCCATGCTCAAAATTTGTGAAAAAATTGCACTTATGGAAATCAATAATCTGGCAATAGCCGCAAAGTAAATTCAAAATAAAAACCACCCTTCGGAAAAAATTGCGTTTCAGCAATATCGAAGCAAAGCAAAGTCGAATGCTTTTTCTATAATTCACTTTGATAATCATCTTTACCACAAGAGTTCGAATATTCCACATAGTATGAATAAGAAACATATTTAGATACTCTCTAGTGCTACTATCAGATTAATTTCGATTTAATAAGTGGAAATTTCGAGTTTCAAATTCAATTTTGATTTTTAGAGTGGAAATTATTCAAAAAACAAAATAACACTATGTGATCCTGATGCCCTTCGGTACAACTGATCTAAAATTATTGTGAATTTCTCAACAACTCGCACCTTAATTGAAAAAACTTGTTATATTTTTATATGGTTTAGATTTTTTTCAATCCATAAAACTTGTTCATACCCAGAACTCTTTCAATTCAAGAATTATGTATTGTGTTTGTCTCAAATCGCAAACAGAAAAGAAATAACTGGAAATGAAGGTTATAAATTAGCTCAAATACAAAAATCAGTTCCACACCTTCGTGCACCTCTTAACAAAGTTTCTGCTCATTTTTACATATTACCGACACCTAACGTAATTACAATCAATGAACACAAAGAGGTACTCAGTTTCCTTACATCTATTCTTTACTAGCTTCCTTAGATTCCTACGAGGTGGCGCCAGAAGGACCAGCGGAGCTTGTAGAAGCGCCGTTGCCATTTTGTTCCGCAGAGGTGGACTGTCCATCTCTGGACCCCTCGCCAGTTTTTGGTGTTCTATCAGTTCTTGTGGGGCAGTCAGCAACCAGATGGTCTTCGCTTTTGCAATTGTGACAGCGTTTCGGCTGAGGACCAAGTTGACATTTTGCTGCTATATGGTTAGCGAATTCTCCACAGTTATAGCATCTGAAAATATGTAAACAAAATAAGGGTGTGAAATAAATGAAAAATATTTGAAGGGGCAAATCTAATGAAATATACAACTGGGTAAGGTAAAAATTCAACTGCAAATCACTCTTCAATCAAATCGAAGTTATTCTGGTTCAGTAACAACTGACGACTGTTGATTCCTGATATTACCAAGGAGTCATTTTCATGATCTTGTAAATATTCATTCAAAAATCCAAAACACATAACACCTTTTGAACTTTGTTTTCACTTTCAAAAATCAATACCATTGCATCCTAATATAGGTAGAAAAAGTATTTTTACATCTTTCCATCACAAAAATTATATGCATTCAGCAACACGAATAATAGAATCAAGTTTTAAAGCACGAGTTATTGACTTCATAATCAACAGTTCGAACTATAATTCCTCAGAAATAGAGTTTTCATAGAGATGACTGGAAAATGAGACATTATGCTGATAAAGGTAGTAATAAAAAGCCCTCAAAGAACCGATACAAAAAAGTCGACCTTAGGGGCTACATATTCATATCTTGTGAAAAGTATTATTAAAAGTGTGCGTCTTTGTCTGTCTGTCTGTCTGCCTAACTGTCTGACCGCGATTAACACGAAAACTATCTAACGGATTTTTATACGGTTTTTACCAATAGACGGAATTATTTGAGAGGAAAGTTTATGAGTATAATTTATTGATGTTTGGTTTGGTATTGATGTGATTACGATGTCATTGCCTAATTCCTTTGAGATATTACAAAAAAAATCATTATATTATATTCTTCCCAAGTGAACAACTATTCGATCATGAGACTGATGCTAAATTTTTACAAGGAGATATCTCAAATGCTCCAAGTCTCTGAGAGCGCTAAAAAGAAATTATTGGAATTGAAAATGGTAATCAGTTAATAATACGATTAAAAAAATGAATATTTTTGACAATAAGTGAAATAGTTTGATATCATCATAGACAATCCACCCCACTCTTCTCAAAAGCATCTCCCTCATGGACAACTTCAACTTTTCAAGATTTTGCGCCGCTACTATTATACGAATGAAAATGAACCATGGTAAATTTCTCGCACATTTGGAAAAAATAGGCATTGGTATAAACTCATTATGCTCATAGTACATTTTTTTTAGCTCTTGTAAGGTAAACTCAATGAAAAAATATTTATTAAGTATAATTCTAACAGTCATAATTGAATCTAAAATATCACTCGATTTATTTCGAAATTTCTGTGGCAATATAAACTACGGTTTGATGCCAAAGGGAGGTTAATAAAAAAAGTTAGTAATTTACAGAAAATAAAAAAGAAAAGTAAAATGTAAAATATCAAATCCAGGTTATTCCCGACGCTTCGATTTTGGGATATTCACCAATTGTCTTTTTGTCAGTAATAGCTTATTCCTGATGGTTTGAGACTACTAATTGGGTACACTTCTCAATCTCTTTTCTTATGGCGCCATTGTTTGTTTCAGCATACTATAAGTCCGTTTTCTCCCTTGATTAAAGCTTTAAAGAATATACGAATCTATCCGACAGAATTGTCATCCAATATATAAGCAGTGTTTTTCAACTTAGTTTTCAATAGTTTTTTCGTCAGTCATTATTAATTAGTTGATAAATTCATAAGCTAAGTTCCCCTCAATACTCTGAAGGCTAAAATACATTTTTGAACTAACTGTATATTCAATGTATCAACATTATTATTGTTGGTTTAACAGTTACCTAATTCCAAAAATTGTTATTGCCCCAAAACAACTCCAAATCAAATTGCATTTTCAAATACATTGAGTAGTGGTACGAGTTGAGTGGTTAAATATTGAATATTACTGGAGTTTTTTTCCCAACGTGTTTCGATCACCAAGTGATCGAAGCACGTGTCGAGTTGTTGAAATAACGGTTTGATGTTGGGAAAAAACTGTAGTAATATTCATTACTAAACCAAAGGTTCCGAACAGTTCATCACAAGTAGTTGAATATTATTCAATTACTTTCATTAGCAACCATATTGGTCAGTAGGTCAACAGAAAATTTAATAAATACATCATTTGAAATAGAATCAAACGCAATAAGCAGGGGATTTTCTACCTTATTTTTCTGAAGCGTTTCTTCGATACCGGTCTTCTGTGGGACCCTCTGCAGTCCAGACGCTGCGGACCAGTTACTTTTGTCGCTTCTAAACCCTTTTCGGAAATTTGGCACTCAAATTCCACTTCTTCTTCATCTCCCAGGGATCTGAATCCATTCATTTGAATGACGCTCTGAAAATGAAAATAAATTCACTGCATGTTGATGTTCCTCATTTTTATCTTCCATTTCGATTATGTAGTACACGATAGTTAACAGATTCTTTGTTTAGAACCCGGTTGGTACAATTAGTTATAATAAACATGTCTACAGTGAAATAACTGCATGTTGATGTTCCTCATTTTTATCTTCCATTTCGATGATGTAGTACAGGATATTTGACCGATTTTTTTTGAAAATACGGTTGGTACCTTTAGTTATGATAGAAATGTCGATAACAAAAAATCAAATATGGACGACTTTGTTTCCTTTTCAAATAACAGACGTCCATCAATAAAATTCACATATCAGTTAGAAAATAAAGGACAACTTCCATTTCTTGGCGTTTTGGTGATGATGAGTCAATGTGAAAAGCTTGAATATAATGTATTCAGGAAGAAAACAAGCACTTACAGGTATATTCCTGCCAGCACAGCGCACAGACGTGCTGGGTTGAATTCTTTTTGACGTTTCCTCTCACACATAAGAGGTTCACAAAAGAAAAAGTGAACCTATAGGATAAAGCAGTCAGTAACGGTTTCTCGGGGAGTACTGTAGATGATATAATAAAGAAGAAAAAGTTTAGCTTAAGGATGAACGATACCTCGAAGGTAGCATTTGAAACGAGCCATACACTACAGAGCCTAAAAACCAAAGGATAAAGTCAAGAATTCGGAAAAGTCTGGAATGCGATGTAAAATATTATAGACAGACTGAAAGATCTATCAAAATAAGATATAAGGAACACTTAGCACACCTAAAATATAGAATATCAGGAAAATCAGCGGTCACCCTTCATGTTTTCCAACAAAACAATGCCATAGACTTCAGTTAATTAAAATTTGTTAGACAAGCATCTAACAGGCACCAGGCATCCATATGACTATGAGAGCTTAGAAATAAGTCAACATAATTATTTTGACCCAAGATTATTTTATCGTGAGTATGAATGCTTAATGCACACAAGAATTACAATAAGTTTTTTATCGACCTTTTTTTGGGTAACGGTTACCTTCCACAATCTGAAAAAATAGAAAAATTATAATGGAGAACTTTATACAAGTGTAGAGATTATATAAAAAATAGACAATTGACAGGATCAAAATTATCAGAACACATTTTAAAATCAGACGGTGAACATCGGGTAGAATGGAATAGGACAAGAAA